CCCCCGCTCCCGTGAACGCCCCATTCATAATTTCCCGCGCCGCCGCCGGGCTGAGGCTGCGTCGCATTGCGTTGCGCCGATTCATAATTCGTAGAGCAGCAGCTCTACTCGGCGGCGGCGCGCTCGCGACGTCAATAATAAATAATCAGCAGCCGGTCCAGTAATTTGTGATCAATGGAAGGCCACACGACGCGGCACGCCGCGCCCTGCTCCTCCTCTTGCTCCTGGCTGGTCCCGGCCCAGCCACACGTGCGAGCTCGCTATGTTTACTGTTTCATTCGGCTGCATAATAGCGGCGCTGGTGTCCCTGGGCCGGGGGGCGCTAATGCATCGTGACCGCGCCAGCGGACCCACGAGAGCGAGGAGGGTGGGAAGGGCGCCATCATGCGGAGTTAAAGGTTGGGTGCCCGCCAACACTGTCATTGCGTCCTTCAGGACCTTTCTACTGTCATTATTTTATTGGACACTCTTTTTAAAGTTGCACTAACTGGTGTAAACTGGGTCACACCTAGATCAGCGGCTGACGCGGTACCGTAAATCAAGCTGATTTGGACCACTCAGCAGTCATCCAAATTCGCCCGTTTTACGGAAATTCTAAGATAAAGGTAATATTTTTTGTCAGGAGGTAATCAGTCAGGTTATGAATGAGCACTACTTTTTCTGCCAACATAGCATAAGGTATTACGAGCCTTACCAGAGTAAACAACAAAAACGTCAGTCATCGTCGCACAGTAGGACGCGGTAACGGTCGCGGTCGCTCTCGCCCTTCAGCACATACCATAATCGTAGTAGGACCATGAGATGAAAGAAAAATTAACGTGACGAAAAAGATTTTCCACCATGCATTCAAATTTGTGGCGAGGCCGCGGATTTGCTGGCCGACCATGCAGACGCTTACTATTTTAAACTTCAGGACTTTCAGGACTCAGAGGTTGCGGAGGTTGCCCAGTAAGGTACAGATTCGTTCTATTTCAACTTGCGACTTGCGACCGCCGCCCCGAGGGTCATTCATCACAATTCTCCCCTAAGCACCCCCCCCCCCCTCCCTTCACAAACCCAAAAGTTTTACTCGTGCGAGAAACTTTACCGAGAACGACGTATACAAGTATTGATTGTTATGCGATATTTTTTGCGCGGTTTTAATACGTGTGGGCGTGACTCCTGTGGGTCATATTGCACCATTCTCATGCAAATGGTCGCGGGGTTGTGGAGCCCTGTGGGCGGCCGGGGCGGCCGGGCCGGGGCTGAAGGGGTGAGGGGGTGAAAAGGTCGCCGCTCAGCCGCGCAGGGGAGGGGGTCTGGGGGGCGGGAGCGGATAGTGCCAAGGGGTGTGACCTGCAATGAAACGCGTAAATGCACACGGTGGCCAATATTGGCCGGCGGATTTGTTTCTCTCGCGCGTTATTAATTCAGCGAATTCATCGGCGGGCCGGCGGGCCATTGGCGAGTATGAAGGTGGCCCAGAGTGGTGTAGGTGTTGAGTGAAAAAGTGTGTATGTGTGTGTGTAGGGGGGGGGGGGGGGGCCTCGCTGGACGGGTGTGGCCATGTCCGGTCCAGACGAGTTCAACATTTTGTCTTGCTCACCCCATTCGCGCTGCCGCCCGCTCCAAACGTTTGTACGAATCGAACTGGCAATCACAAAAGAGAGAACAAGTGATTCTATTCCGTTGTTATTCGTGTGTTTTTTATTTTCTCATGTCTGGCGGGTAGGGGCTGGTAACAACTGAATTTTCGACACGTTTTCCCTTATTTACCTCGCGAGGCCCACCCAGTGGCATGTGCGCTGCTGCCTGCCTGCGCTGCGCGGACGGAATTAAAGCGGGGAGAGCCTTGTGTACTCATTGAGAGGTATTTGAACTCCAATCCTCTCGTTTCCTCTCTCTCTCTTTTCAATTGGCGGCAAAACAGGAAAAGAAAAACAGCCTAGAAAAACGTTGACGGCTGAGCCAGGCGGAGCCGAGCGCTGCTAGCTGCCGGGCCGGTCTGCGCGGCAGCGCGGCTGGGCTTTCGTAGCATAATTGGCTGAGCGTCATCGCGGCGCTGCCAAACAAATCCCCGATCCGATCCTCCCAACGGTTCTGATTGGTTCATTCCATGAATACTGATGTCACTCCGTTCCCCCGTTCCCGCGTATCGGCGCCGCGTGAAATAAAAAATGAAAATGAAAGACAGTGGACGGCGGCATAATTACAGTTGACATGAATAATTTGCCACGGTAAAGCAGGATGCGCCGTAGCAGGTCCCGGCGCGCCTGGCGCCGCGTGGCCAGGCCGCGCGCCCGCCGCCGCGCCCGCTGGGCTGCCTACCCCGCGGGCGCGCGGCCCACCTGAGGCTCCCACCTCTTCGGTGGAACCCCCAACCGGAGGAGGTCTGTTTGGCGCCCAGCAGGGTGATTCCGCACACCGCGCGAGGGGGCTAGCTCCCTCGCGTGAGGCGAGGGACCTCTTTCTCCCTCTGTCCGTTAGTGTGACAAGGATGAGAAGAGAGAGAGGTCCCTCGCGCGAGGGAGCTAGCCCCCTCGCGCGGTGTGCGGAATCACCCTGCTGCCCTACGGGGCTGTACACTTTTCTCTCTCTGGCCCTGGTAAGCTAGGGGACTCGTCACTTAACTCAAAGAACTGAAAACAATAATACTGCACAAATACCCCCATACGTTCACATCCACATGAGCCCTTAATTAGTATTAAATACTTTAAGGCCTACGGACAACAGTCTACTTGCCTATGCATGAAGTCCATCTGTAATCTAATTTGACGTCAATAATACAATTTCATAAAATTGAACTCAAACTCCTCGGACTTCTCCTTGACCGCGGCGCTGCTCTCCTCTTGCCCACAGGGACGCCGTGGCCGCCATGGCCCCGGGGCGCTTCCGGCGCCGCCTCAGCGACGACCACTCGGACGCTGGGGACCCCCAGGCGGGGTCGGCCGCGCCCGCCGAGCCCAGCAGCGGGATGGGGACGGCGCCACGCTCCTGGCTGGGCGACGGCACGGGCTCCACGCGCGGCAGGCTGCCCTGGCTGTCGCCGCGGGAGAGGCGGCACCCCCTGCGCGACGTGCGCCTGTCCTGCTTCCGGAGGTAAGTACGAGAATTCAACGGCCGTCAATTGCCGCTAGTGTAGATAAAGTGATCAATGTAACTTGCTTTCAAATAACATCCAAAAGCCAGAAAGAAAGATCAAAAAACCGTTTGGTCAAAAACACTTTGAAGGAAGAAACGATTTTCCTGGACGGACCCATCGGTTGGCGTGGCCTGAAGCCTTTGTTTCGTCTCATGTTGTTTGTACCACCGTCAGCTACCTCCCGGGATCCATCGGAGCCTCCGCGGACGGGGACGTGACCTGCGGGGAGTCGGCCGCCGCGTCGCCCAGGACGCCGCGGACGCCGCGCCTGCACATGCCGGGCACGCCCCGGGCCGACAAGGAGGACAGGGCCGGCAGCAGGGGGCTGTCGCTGTCCGTGCGCCGCTCGCCCGGCCGCGCCAGGGGCAGCAAGTCCAGCGAGAACGTGTACTTCGTGAGCCCGCCGCGACCGCAGCCCGGCCACGACGCGGCCGCCGACCAGCAGCAGCAGCCGCTGCAGCAGCAGGTGCACACCCCGGGGGATGAACTATACCCGCGCTCGTGACAGCGGCGTTGGCGCCCGCCCCCTCCCCTACCCACATGTGATAACAATAACTCAGCTACCGCGCGGGGGGAGGGGGGATCGGGCCGTATTTTCCTTCTGCGTATTCTTTACGCAATTCCGGATTCTATTCGTTCATTTCGCTACTATGCGGCGCGCATTGCGAGCATAGCTTTTTCGTCAATGATTCCTGTGCTCTCGCTCTTGTTTTAGCACCTTATTTCATAGGAATGACGCAATGCCAGCTCTATGCTCACATGCACGGCCCGCCCTGCCCGTCACGAACTGACCCCACGCTTGTCCAGCAGGCCCCGCAGCAGCCGACGCCCAAGGCGAGCGGAGGGCACAACCTGAGCGCGAGGCTGCGAGCGCTGTCGGCGCGGTGCATGGCGCTCGTGCACTCCAACAAGGCCAGCATCACGTCGGCCAAGCGGCCCTCCTCGTCGCGGCCCTGCAAGCAGCGCTCCTTCTCCTCCGGCGCGCTGCCCGGGCTGCACGACTTCCAGCGGCGCCAGCTCAACCCGCTGTACCGGGACGAGCCCGAGGTGCACGACGACCAGCGCAGCCACGACGACGAGGTATGGGGTTAGCACGGGAGCGGCGGGGGCAGCGGGGTGGAGCCCGTCCCCTAACGCGATCGGAGGCCGGTAAATTAGAGTCGCAATCTTATCGCGCGCTTTTAATATCATTCTGGCCCCCGTGCGCCTGCTGTGGGCCGCGCGCACTAGCCC